ATTACAGGCTTGAGCCACTGCGATACACACTTATCTTAATTGCTTGACATTTAAATCATTTTCTTTTGAGGCCTGTTTTGTCTTTGTGCTTGTCACAAGGTCCTCAGACCCCAGAGCAGCAGCAGCCGCCGCACGCTGGGGCTCGTTTGAAACGGGAATTCCTGGGCTGCGTCCCAGACCTGCTGAAGGAGAGCACCTAAGGATGGGTGCAGAGACCTGAGTTCCACCACAGTCCGTGACCCCATCTTCACGAAAGCCAGCGTTCTTGGCCAGATTAGCATTCATTTTATTTTGTTTTGTTTCGTTTCATTTTATTTTAGTAGGGACGGGGTTTTGCCAGGTTGCCCAGCTGGTCTCGAACTCCTGCCCTCACGTGGTCTGCCTGCCTCAGCTTTGCAAAGTGCTGAGATTACAGGTGTGAGCCACAGCACGGGCCTAGCATTTATTTTTACCATCATTGTTTTCTGGGTCTTTATTGCCTTATGAGAAAACATTGCAAAACTTAGAGGCTTAAAGCAGCGATGCATAATTATCCCCACCGGGCTGTGTGCTGACTGGGCCTGGCTGGGCGGTTTTTGCTGGTGGCTTTTTATGTGGCTGCAATCAGACGGCAGCTGGGGCAGGATTCACCTGGAGACTTGATTGGACTGGGCATCTGAGACGGCTTCCGTGGGTAACCCCCCTATAGGCAGAACCCTGGCACAGTTAGGGCTTGAGGAATCTCTCACTTCATAGTGTTACCACGCAGCGATTTCCTTTTATATAATCCTTTACATAATCATATATTAGTTTATAGAAATAGGGCTTGACGAATCCCTTTATAGAATCCTCTATATGTAATCATATAATAGTTGATAGTATGAGTGCCTAAAGATATTTCCCTACATATATACCTATAATTATATCTTGGTTCATAATTGGAGGAATGCCTAGAGTGGACACAGTGCAGAGCATGAATTAAGGAATAAGCAGCTTATAATCGGAGGAATGCCTAGAGCAGACACAGTGCAGAGCATGATTTAAGGGAAAACAGTTATACCAGGACAGGAATCCATGGCCCAGGTGGCAGCCTTCAGTATCATAAAGACACCCGCTGTATGGCGGGCTTGGAGCGAGAGCCTCTCCTCCTGATAAAGGAGTTGTAGGACCTTGCTCCAGTTCTTGTGGAAGGCCGCCCTCAGACCGGCAATCCACCTTGGTGACTGTGAACTCTATCAGCTCTTGCTACTGTGCTGCTCGAAAAGCATCTTCCCATAGAACCCACTGGAAGCTGCCAGAAGGTCGTGGTAACCCTGAGAGCTCTGTCACTGCTGTGTGACTTAAAGCATCCTATAAATCTTAGTAGCTTGCCCATAGATAGAAGCATTGCACACTGCACCTTCTTCACTGTGCATGGCCCACCTTCAAGCCTTGGTGACCTAATGGGGGTGGACCCCTTGCTGCACACTGTCCACCTCCTGGCCTCGGTGACCTAATGAGGGCAGACCCCATGTTTTATTGCTCACGACCCTATCACTATCCTTAAAGATGGTTTCACTCACTGCCCTGCCCCCTAACCTACACACAACAAATACTCACGCTTCTGGACATTCGGGGCTTTGCCTGACTCTGCTCATAGGTGGCGTGGCCCCCTGAGCCCAGCTGCGTTTTCCTTGTACGTCTGTGTCCTGTCTCTTCATTTCTCGGATCCTGTGCCTCAGCACAGCATAAGGCTCACCCCACGACCCTGTGGGGCCCTCAGCCCTACAGCTTCTCCAATCCTATGTCCGTTGCGTCAGCCGGGATGGGAGAACAGGCGCCCTCCCTCACTGTGAGTCTTGCTCTGTCGCCCAGGCTGGAGTGCAGTGGCGCCATCTTGGATCACTCCAGCCCCGACCTCCTGGGTTCAAGCGATTCCCCTGCCTCAGCCTCACAAGTAGATGGGACTACAGGTGCCCACCACCACATCCAGCTAATATTTTGTATTTTTAGTAGAGATGGGGTTTCACCATGTTAGCCATGATGGTCTCCGTCTCCTGACCTTGTGATTCACCCGCCTCGGCCTCCCAAAGAGCTGGGATTCCAGGCCTGAGCCACCACACGCAGCCCTAATTTTTGTGTTTTTAGTAGAGTTGGTGTTTCACCATGTTAGCCAGGATGGTCTCCGTCTCCTGACCTTGTGATTTACCCGCCTCGGCCTCCCAAAGAGCTGGGATTCCAGGCCTGAGCCACCACGCGCAGCCCTAATTTTTGTGTTTTTAGTAGGGTTGGTGTTTCACCATGTTAGCCAGGATGGTCTTGAATGCTTGACCTCGGAAGCTTGATGACCTCAGTGGAGATGCTGTGTGGGGGTCCAAGCTGGGCATGGAGAGGCTCTCTTGACTCAGAGAGAGATGCTGGGCAGGTCCACCTCCAGCTCCAGTCTCCACCCTCCAGCCTCCAGCTCCAGCCTCCAGGTCTAACTCCAGCCTCCAGCTCCAACTCCCAGCTCCAGCTCCAACTCCCAGCTCCAGCCTCCAGCTCCAACCTCCAGCTCCAACTGCAGCCTCCAGCTCCAACTGCAGCCTCCAGCTCCAACCTCCAGCTCCAACTGCAGCCTCCAGCTTCAACCTCCAGCTCCAACTCCCAGCTCCAGCCTCCAGGTCTAACTCCAGCCTCCAGCTCCAACCTCCAGCTCCAACTGCAGCCTCTAGCTTCAACCTTCAGCTCCACCTCCAGCTCCAGCCTCCAGTTCCAACCTCCAGCTCCAGCCTCCAGCTCCAACCCCCAGCTCCAACCTCCAGCTCCAATCTCCAGCTCTAGCCTCTAGCTCCAACTCCAGCCTCCAGCTCCAACTCCAGCCTCCAGCTCTAGCCTCTAGCTCCAGCTCCACCTCCAGCCTCCAGCTCTAGCCTCTAGCTCCAACTCCAGCCTCCAACCTCCAGCTCTAGCCTCTAGCTCCAACTCCAGCCTCCAGCCTCCAGCTCCAACTCCAGCCTCCAGCTCCAACCTCCAGCTCTAGCCTCTAGCTCCAACTCCAGCCTCCAGCTCCAGCTCCAACCTCCAGCTCTAGCCTCTAGCTCCAACTCCAGCCTCCAGCTCTAGCCTCTAGCTCCAACTCCAGCCTCCAGCTCCAGCCTCCAGCTCTAGCCTCTAGCTCCAACTCCAGCCTCCAGCTCCAACCTCCAGCTCTAGCCTCTAGCTCCAACTCCAGCCTCCAGCTCCAGTCTTCATCTGCTGCAAGCACACTGGAGACCCCTGGGGAAGGAACCATACAGCACAGCCCAGTTAGCCCCGGAGCCCTGAGCACTCGTGGTAGATTGCTATTTGGGAGGTTTATTTATTTTTTTATTTTTGAGACAGAGTTTTTCTCTTGTTTCCCAGGCTGGAGCGCAACAGCACAATCTCGGCTCGCTGCAGCCTCCGCAGCCCAGGGAGGTTGATTAGGCAGCAGGAGACAAGTGACACAAAGAGCATTTTGTTGCATCTTGTTGGCTGATGGGCACATGGTCTGTGCAGGGACTGCCCGAGTTTGAGCAGCGACGGTGCTGGTTGGGACCTACTTACTTCGTGGCTATTTCTATGTCTACAGCCTTGAAACTGTAGCCACCCAGCGGGTCCTCCTTGCCCGACAGAGCGGATTTATCAAGAAGGGAGAATTGCGACAACGAGCGTAGTTATCTGGGGCCGGCCGGGTGGGAGACGAGTTTCGCTACCGCTGGAACCAGCCTCCGTGACCACGTGGAAGCCGGGGTTTTAAAGACGGCGCGGCGGGCGGGGGCTGGAGGGGGGCCGCGTTCACAGGGGCCGGGGCCGCAGACAAGATAAGCCGGGGCGGCGCCCGCTCACCCAGCAGACATCCCGGGACCATCTTCGACCCGCGGCGGCGCTGTCGGGGCAGCGGGAGGAGTCGCGCCTCCGGGCAGCCGAGTTCCTCATCCTGCGGCTTCCGCGTGGGTTTTACGCGGGGCTTGGTCCCCAAGCGGGGAGGGACTGTTTCGGGGGGGGCTGTAGCCACGGTTGTTTCGAACTTCAACTATAAACTGAGTTCCCGTCAAAGTTAGTTCGGCGTCCGCTCAGGAAGGACCGGGCGGCTGGGGGCCGAGGGCACGGGGAGGGGGTCGGGGCCGAGGGCACGGGGAGGGGGTCGGGGCCGAGGGCACGGGGAGGGGGTCCGGGCCGAGGGCACGGGGAGGGGGTCGGGCCCAGGGCACGGGGAGGGGGTCGGGGCCGAGGGCACGGGGAGGGGGTCCGGGCCGAGGGCACGGGGAGGGGGTCGGGGCCGAGGGCACGGGGAGGGGGTCGGGCCGAGGGCACGGGGAGGGGGTCGGGCCGAGGGCACGGGGAGGGGTCCGGGCCGAGGGCACGGGGAGGGGGTCGGGGCGAGGGCACGGGGAGGGGTCCGGGCCGAGGGCACGGGGAGGGGTCCGGGCCGAGGGCACGGGGAGGGGGTCGGGGCGAGGGCACGGGGAGAGGGTCGGGCCGAGGGCACGGGGAGAGGGTCGGGCCGAGGGCACGGGGAGGGGGTCGGGCCGAGGGCACGGGGAGGGGGTCGGGCCGAGGGCACGGGGAGGGGGTCGGGCCGAGGGCACGGGGAGGGGTCCGGGCCGAGGGCACGGGGAGGGGGTCGGGCCGAGGGCACGGGGAGGGGTCCGGGCCGAGGGCACGGGGAGGGGTCCGGGCCGAGGGCACGGGGAGGGGGTCGGGGCGAGGGCACGGGGAGAGGGTCGGGCCGAGGGCACGGGGAGAGGGTCGGGCCGAGGGCACGGGGAGGGGGTCGGGCCGAGGGCACGGGGAGGGGTCCGGGCCGAGGGCACGGGGAGGGGGTCGGGCTGGTCTCTCCCGCCGTGGAATTCCTCGCCACTGCCGTCTCCGCGCCCCGTTCCCGCCTTCTGCGCCGCCTTCCCGCCTTCCTTCTGCGCCGGCTCCGTGCCTGCCGCGCCCCGTTCCCGCCTTCCTTCTGCGCAGGCTCCGTGCCTGCCAGCCCCGTTCCCGCCTTCCTTCTGCGCAGACTCCGTGCCTGCCAGCCCCGTTCCCGCCTTCCTTCTGCGCAGGCTCCGTGCCTGCCGCGCCGCGTTCCCGCCTTCCTTCTGCGCAGACTCCGTGCCTGCCGCGCCCCGTTCCCGCCTTCCTTCTGCGCAGGCTCCGTGCCTGCCGCGCCCCGTTCCCGCCTTCCTTCCGCGCAGGCTCCGTGCCTGCCGCGCCCTGTTCCCGCCTTCCTTCTGCGCACGCTCCGTGCCTGCCCGCCGTAGGCCAGGTCGGTGAGAGATGAGAGAAGCTTCCAAATACCAAACTGATCCAACCACCGACGTGGCGGGCGAGACGCAGCGTGGGCAGGTCGGGGGAGGGGATGTGGGCTGGAGAAGGAAGAGACCTTCCCACCGGACGGCGGTTCAGAGACGAGGCGGGAGGAGAGGCGCGGGCAGAGGGGCCGGACGTCGGGCGCCAGGCTGGAAAGGACAAGTGCCCTTGAGGGGGACAAGGACGGAGGCGGCGGGCCCCCTGCTTGCTCCAGGCTGCAGGCGGAAGGAGCGGGCGGGTCAGACAGGCCTCCGGGAGGCTCCGGGGGTTCAGGTTCCCAGGACCGGGTAGGAGGGGAGAGGGCTGCGTGGGACCCGGGTGATCGCGGGGAGCCCACGGTGCGATCGGAACACCTTAACCCATGCAGCTTGGGGGGAGGCCTCGGAGCCAGGGCAAGACTGTCCAGGGTGTCTGTGCCCGCCCCCCCCAGACCTCCCGGGTGACGGGGGCATCTCACAGTGCCCGCCCCTCCCCCCCCAGACCTCCCGGGGTGACGGGGGCATCTCACAGTGCCCGCCCCTCCCCCCCAGACCTCCCGAGGGTGACGGGGGCATCTCACAGTGCCCGCCCCGCCCCCCAGACCTCCCGGGGTGACGGGGGCATCTCACAGTGCCCGCCCCCCCCAGACCTCCCGGGGTGACGGGGGCATCTCACAGTGCCCGCCCCTCCCCCCCAGACCTCCCGGGGTGACGGGGGCATCTCACAGTGCCCACCCCGCCCCCCCAGACCTCCCGAGGGTGACGGGGGCATCTCACAGTGCCCCCCCCCCCCCCCAGACCCCCCGGGGTGACGGGGGCATCTCACAGTGCCCGCCCCGCCCCCCAGACCTCCCGGGGTGACGGGGGCATCTCACAGTGCCCGCCCCGCCCCCCCAGACCTCCCGAGGGTGACGGGGGCATCTCACAGTGCCCGCCCCGCCCCCCCAAGACCTCCCGGGGTGACGGGGGCATCTCACAGTGCCCGCCCCGCCCCCCCCAGACCTCCCGAGGGTGACGGGGGCATCTCACAGTGCCCACCCCGTCCCCCCCAGACCTCCCGAGGGTGACGGGGCATCTCACAGTGCCCGCCCCGTCCCCCAGACCTCCCGAGGGTGACGGGGCATCTCACAGTGCCCGCCCCTCCCCCCCAGACCTCCCGAGGGTGACGGGGGCATCTCACAGTGCCCACCCCGCCCCCCCAGACCTCCCGAGGGTGACGGGGGCATCTCACAGTGCCCACCCCGCCCCCCAGACCTCCAGGGTGACGGGGGCATCTCACAGTGCCCGCCCCGCCCCCCCAGACCTCCCGAGGGTGACGGGGGCATCTCACAGTGCCCGCCCCGCCCCCCCAAGACCTCCCGGGGTGACGGGGGCATCTCACAGTGCCCGCCCCGCCCCCCCAAGACCTCCCGGGGTGACGGGGGCATCTCACAGTGCCCGCCCCGCCCCCCCCAGACCTCCCGAGGGTGACGGGGGCATCTCACAGTGCCCACCCCGTCCCCCCCAGATCTCCCGAGGGTGACGGGGCATCTCACAGTGCCCGCCCCGTCCCCCAGACCTCCCGAGGGTGACGGGGCATCTCACAGGGTCTTCCTCACCAAGGGGGGATGATTAGTGTGGACAAAATGGACAGAACCGTCATCCCCGACGGCAACTTTTAAAAATGAGACCCAAGAGGTAAAACTTTGTCCAAGGAAGGGAACTGCACGCCAGAGAAAGCTGCAAGAACGTTTCCACATAAACACAAACATCACGCCCAATAACAAAGATATTCACCAAAGATTACATCAGGGACGTGAGAAAAGGAACCCACATGGGGAGAAAAAACCCAAGAAATCCTGCTCAGGACGAATGCGATCCTTACCATTGCCAGATGGTGACACGGGGTTATCCTAACTGCATTCCATATGTTCAAAGAGCTAAGTAGAAACGGACCACGTAAAAATATGCACAGCAAACTTCTACAAGTTAAAGCTACAGTGGATGCGATGAACCTGTTAGACGTGGAAGAAAAGATGAATGAGCTTGAAGACAGAACAGTAGATGCAATACAATATAAAACAGAAAAATTAACAATAAGCTAAAAGAGCATCTTTCGTGACTTGCAGGTTGCAGGGGCCCGGCACCCCTGTGAGAATCAGAGTCCCCCACACAACTGCAATCCGAACAGGGGTCCCTGAAGAAGAGCAGACAGCAGAGGCACCGAAAAAATATGACGAAATCATAGCCCCAAGATTTCCAGATCTGATGCAAATTGTGAACCCACAGATGACAGAAACTCAAAATCCCCAACTCAGGGACAATGAAGAAAATGGCACAGAGGCCACAAAAGCCACAGAAGGTCGATTCTGGGTCACCGGCCACAGAAGGTCACCTCCCGGGTCACCGGCCACAGAAGGTCACCTCCCGGGTCACCGGCGTAAAATGCACATCTCATTTCTCCTGAGTAGCCCACGCAGGAGTAGCATCATCCCGGCCCAGAAAGAATAACCCTGTCAGCCTGAGTCTCCTCTCAGCAGAAACCTCTCTGAGAGACAAGGCAGAGCAAGTGTTTGCAGAACCAGCGCATGGAACTGGGTGGTGAGTGGACCCGCTGCAGACCCGGGTGTGTCCTCCAGTTAGGAGCCGAGCACATATGGGACAGGGAGAGATGAGCAGCCCCCGGTACAGCCACAGTGTGGGCAAATTAAATATTGAGGATTTGACAAATTGATTAAGTATCCTTCAAAGATAATTGACTGTTTAAACAAAATATTCACAAGGCACTGTGGGTTTTAAAACATGTATAAGTAGAATGTGGCAGCCACAGCATCCAGGTCACACAGAGACGTGGGCCACAGGAAGGTCCTCACTTGGCCGTGGAGTGGCAGGTTTTACCTGCAGGAGCCTGGGGTCCATGGGAGATGAGCACTGCAGACCCCAAAGCTGCTGCGGCCTGATGTCCTTGCAGCGTGTTGAGACTCCCAGAGTGTGGACTCAGGGGCTCAAAGGCTCATGTGCCAACCAACTGGTTTCTGTCTAGAGCACACGCCAGCTCCTTCCCATTTCTGCTTCATTCAGACCAAGTTAAAATGGAACCGCACTGGCCACAAAGAGCAAGTGGGGTTTGGCATCCGCACCTCTGAGGCTGGGGTTGGGGCATCACCTTCCTGGGAGCACAGAGGGAAGCGGGAGGAATGTGTGCCTCAGCCTCGGCCAGAGACAATGGAGCGAACGCATGAGCTGCACCTGCCTTTCCTGAAGTCCACGAATACCCTCAAGGATCAGAGAGGATGAAGTCCACCAATACCCAAGAGAACCAGAGAGGAGATGAGTGATTCTGCTGCCTCAGCCTCCCAGGTAGCTGGGATTACAGGCGCCCCCACCGTGCACCGCTGATTTTTTTTTTTTTTTTAATAGAGACGGGGTTTCACCATGTTGGCCAGGCTGATCTTGAACTCCTGACCTCAGGTGATCCTCCCACCTCAGCCTCCCAAAGAGCTGGGATTACAGGCGTGAGCCACTGTGCCTTGTTGTAAGACTGATTTTTTAAGCCACGTGGATGTATATTTCTGATAAAACTAAAGCCATTAAAAAATAAAGTACTTGTGGCCCAATCCATGCTTACAGGTGCTAAGGTGGCATGTGCCCCCCGTGCTGTGCTGAGGCCCTCGCTGTGACTGCCTTGCACGGTGGCTACTGGCTTGAGGAGTCGGGCTGTCCAATTCCTAGCAGAGGAGGGTAAAGACGGCATTCACCATCCCCAAATCTGGAAATGCCCAGTGAGCCTCAGGGCCTTGTGACCCTCCACCATGGGAAGGATGGGAAAGGTGATTGGATCTCTGCGGTTGGAAGTGATAGCTTGCAGTTTTATATTTTTGAGTGTGTATTATACTATGAGCTCTCACTTTCAGACCATGGAGTTCTCACCACCTTCTCCATTTCCACAGCAGGTCCGGGAGCTCCTTGGAGCCTGAGATGCCTCCTCCCGGGTGCATGGATAGCGGAGAGGGACCTAGCGTTGCACCTGCTCCAGGCTCCAGAGCTGGAGCTCACCGTGGCTCCTCCGCCTTTGAACTGAGATCGCGCTGCTGTACTCCAGCCTGGGTGACAGAGGGAAACCCTGTCTCAAAAAGAGAAAGAAGAAAGGAAGGGAGGGACGGAGTAAGTCAGCACCTGTGAACACACTGTTTGCTGCTTTTAGAATAGTTTTACACCAGGCCCCATGCATTCTGCAGCCGGCATGGGCGAGGCTGCACGTGTGTGCTGATCTGACACAGCCTCTCACCTGGACCAGAAGCCATCTGAGCAGAGACCCTGGCTGTCTACTTCACTCCGGGTCCCCCAGCACTGGGCCAGGCCCCACCTGTGGCCCATGCTCAGCCTCTGTCGGTGTGAAGGATGAGCTGGCCATAGGGCCGTGTTGGCGGCAGGGATGGCGGTGGGGCTGCTGGGTGCTGTGGGGCTGGTCTGGGTGGGTGGCAGTGTTGTGTCTGGCGGTGCAGGTGCTGGGGCGGTCGATGGGGTGAGTACTGTGGACCATGTCGGTGTGGGTGAGCGGGTGGCTGGAGTGAGGGCGGCGATGGGCGTTAGTTTCTAGGACACGGGGCAACATGAGGCCCTCTTGCCTGTAGCTTCAGCACCTCCAGTCTCGAGGCTGCCTTCAGTCAGTGGTGGAGACTCGGCGGCATTTCTCTGTCACCAAGGGCAGCGGCAGGAAGCCATTCACATGAACATCAGCAGACCAATATTCACAGAGGTGTGGGCAGGGCCAAGGGGGGCCCAGAGATAGGACACGGCACCTCCCCACAGTGCAGGGCCCCTAGCCCCCAGGGGCCACCAGGTGCAGGCAGACCAGTAGCTGGGAGGACACTAGCACAGGGTGTCGAGAGACTCAGTGGCCCCCGCACATGTGGCTCCCCTGCAGGAAGAGAGCAGGACATGTGGGGCACCATCAGACCACCTGCTGGCCAGCCCACCTGCCACCCCAAAGCGACCAGGGAGCTCTGGTGTGCAGCCCACGAAGCACAGAGGCTCAGGTGGGCCAGAAGCAGAGCTTCCACCCTGGACTGCGAAAGTTTTTGTGATGATTGAAGTGGCCCTGGAGGAGGGTGATGGGGGAGGAGCACTGGAGGAGGGTGATGGAGGAGGAGCCCTGGAGGAGGGTGATGGGGGAGGAGCACTGGAGGAAGGTGATGCGGGAGGAGCCCTGGAGGAGGGTGATGGGGGAGGAGCCCTGGAGGAGGGTGATGAGGGAGGAGCACTGGAGGAAGGTGATGGGGGAGGAGCCCTGGAGGAGGGTGATGGGGGAGGAGACCTGGAGGAGGGTGATGGGGGAGGAGCCCTGGAGGAGGGTGATGGGGGAGGAGCCCTGGAGGAGGGTGATGGGGGAGGAGCCCTGGAGGAGGGTGATGGTGAGGGCCCTGGAGGAGGGTGATGGAGGAGACCTCTGGGCCCTTGACTCCCAGGCTGCCAGTGTAGGATGTTCAGGCACCAGCTCTCTCTCCAGGAATTCTGTTTCCTCTACTTTCTTCATGTGGCATCTCCTCCAGCCTAAGCTTCGGAGACCCCCACGGCGGTTGGGGGTGTCCCAGAGACAGTCTGAGAGGGCAGGCAGGCAGGCAGCACCCACTCAGCCTCAACCTGGCTCAGGCTGGAGTGCAGTGTCACCATCGCAGCCTGCAGCAACCTCCGCCTCCCAGGTTCAAGTGATTCTCCTGCCTCAGCCCCTTGAGTAGCTGGGATCGCAGGCATCCACCATCACACCTGGCTAATTTTTGTATTTTTAGTAGAGATGGGGTTTCATCATGTTGGCCAGGCTGCTCTCAAACTCCTGCCCTCAGGTGATCCACTGGCTTCAGCCTCCCACAGTGCTGGGATTACAGGAGTGAGCCGTCGTGCCTGGCCAAAACATTTTCATCTTTATTATATCTGTTAGGTGATCTGTGATCAGTGAATTTTGATGTTACTATGATCATTGTTTTGGGGTGCCACAAACTGTACCCATATAAGACGGCAAGCTTAACCAATACATGATGTGCGTTCTGACTCTCCACCCACTAGTCGATGCCCCATCCTTCTCCCTCTCTTCAGGCCTCTCCCGTCCCTGAGACACAGCAGCACAGAAGTCAGGCCACAGGACACCCTCCAACAGCCTCAGATGCTCAAAGAGAAGGACGAGTTGCAGCTCTCTCCTTCAAATCAAAAGTCAGAAATGGCTCAGCCTGCTGAGAAGGGCGTGTCAGAATCTGGACAGGCTGAAAGCCAGGCCACCGTGCAAAAGAGTTAGCCAAGTTTTGAATATAAAGGAAAACTTGAGGGAAATTGTAAGTGCCACTCCAGTGAACACCTGCATGAGACAGAAGCGGAAAGCCTTGCTGCCAACATGGAAGAAGCTGCAGGGGTCAGGATAGGAGATCAAACCGACCATAGCGTCTCCTCAAGCCAAAGCCTGATCCAGACCAAGGCTCCAGCTCTCTTCTATTCTGTGAAGGCTGAGAGAGGCCAGGAAGCTCCAGAAGAAAAGCTGGAAGTTGGTGGAGGTGGCTTCATGAGGTTCAGGGGCAGAAGCCGCCTCTACCACACAGAAGCACCAGTGAGGCAGCAGGTGCTGGAGGAGCAGCCGAGGCAGGTTCTTTGGATGATCCGGCTGAGATCATGGGTGAAGGTGACTAAAATCACAGTGGATTTTCAGTGTAGACCAAACAGCAGCAACAGGGCACCAGCCGTCTCTGGAACTTTCTGGAACAGGACGTGCACCCTGGGTCCTGTTGCCCCTGTTGTACCAATGAGAACACAGGCCACAGAGTGGGCAGGCGTGGCCTGGGTCAGAACCAGCCCCATGGCTGGGCCTGTGGTGCACAAGCTTCATGGCGGGCTGCTGGGGTCTTCGGCTCACTGCTGGGGTCTTTGGCTCAGCACAGCCCTGGTGGCCCCAGGCACTGTGCCAGCATCACCCCAGGGTCAACTCATGACCCACGGGCGCCCTGATATGTGAGGGGGTCTCACTTGCACACCTGTGGGCACTCTCTGCAGTCCCTTCTGCCGTCCCTGTCCTTCCCTGGGCTCTGGCCACCCTGGGAGGGCACCTGTTCCAATCTCCAGGGACTGGTGTGGCCTCAGAGATATTGTCGCCCAGTGACTCTCAAGTCAGAAGCCACAGGCCAACACCCTGCTCGACCGGCCGGCAGCAGCCTGGGTCTGACTCCAGCCATGTCCCTGCCCTGGGATGTCTGCCTCTCACGCCTCTGCCTGGCCAGGATGACGGGGGAAGTTCAGGAATCCCTCCAGCACCTAGCCAGGGTGTCGGGGAGACCCTCTGCAGCCACAGGAGCCCAGGGGCTCCCACCCCAGCCTGCCACACCCTCGGGGGAAGCCAGGACCCCAAGGAAGCATCTGCCCTGGTGAGCGGTGCCTGCCTGGGCCCCTGGGAGCCAGTGTGGGGGAGGGGCTGTGCCAAGGCCACATCAGCCACCAGTGCTTCTTAGGGCCACCAAGGACAGGCAGCCACAGCCAGCCAGGCACCAGCGTGTCTTTTCCAGCTCCCCAATCTTACATTCTTTCCTTGCAAACACCACATGCACACACATGATGGACAGATGGTACACGCACACACAGATATCCACTGTGCAAACAGGAACACGAAGACATGTGTGACCCTGGCAAACACATGCACATGCCACAGACCCAGATGTCACAGCACGGGGCCCTCAGGTCACATGCGGTGACGCTTCCAGCCTCCTGTGAGGACAGGCCCCGGTGCACAGGCCCCACCTGCCTCTGCGTGTCCATGGGCAGCCGTGCACATGTGTGGGTCACAGATGCGCGTGGACGTGCATGCATCTGTGTGGTTGCGTGTGCTCACATGGGCACATGCATTGGCATTCAGCTGTGTGTACACACAGCACCCCAAGTACCCACAGACACTCGTGAGCCCTCGGGTGTGACCCGAGAACGGCGCGGCTCCCAGCTTCTGTGGAGGCCTTTATCTCTGCTGGACGGATAGTTTCTGGATGGGGTTGGGGGACAAGAGGCACAGCCTGCAGTAGGTTAAATGCCATTGGCCAGGCTCCCCACGGCGGGGCGGAGGGAAGGCGCAGAGGCTGTGCCCTGGAAGAAAGGCCCAATAGCTGCCACCCAGCCCTCTTGGGCCCCACATGGCAGCATCTCCCTTGGGGCCTCTGAGCTGCTGGTTTGTTTTTTTTTTTTGAGACGGAGTTTTGCTCTTGTTACCCAGGCTGGAGTGCAATGGCGCGATCTCGGCTCACCGCAACCTCCGCCTCCTGCGTTCAGGCAATTCTCCTGCCTCAGCCTCCCAAGTAGCTGGGATTACAGGCACGGGCCACCATGCCCAGCTAATTTTTTGCATTTTTAGTGGAGACGGGGTTTCACCATGTTGACCAGAATGGTCTCGATCTCTTGACCTCGTGATCCACCCGCCTCGGCCTCCCAAAGTGCTGGGATTACAGGCTTGAGCCACCGCGCCCGGCCGAGCTGCTGGTTTTCTAAATGCAGCCAATACTGAGGCCCCTCAGCAGCCCAGCAGCAGGACAGGCAGGTGCGGAGCTGCCAGGGGCCTCCAGGACAGCTGTGCCCCCATGGCTCCCATGGGGGGCCTCCAGGACAGCTGTGCCCCGTGGCTCCTGTGGGTGTCTCCATGGCTCCCGTGGGTGTCTCCAGGACAGCTGTGCCCCGTGGCTCCCGTGGGTGTCTCCAGGACAGCTGTGCCCCGTGGCTCCCGTGGGTGTCTCCAGGACAGCTGTGCCCCGTGGCTCCCGTGGGTGTCTCCAGGACAGCTGTGCCCCGTGGCTCCCGTGGGTGTCTCCAGGACAGCTGTGCCCCGTGGCTCCCGTGGGTGTCTCCAGGACAGCTGTGCCCCGTGGCTCCCGTGGGTGTCTCCAGGACAGCTGTGCCCCGTGGCTCCCGTGGGTGTCTCCAGGACAGCTGTGCCCCGTGGCTCCCGTGGGTGTCTCCAGGACAGCTGTGCCCCGTGGCTCCCGTGGGTGTCTCCAGGACAGCTGTGCCCCGTGGCTCCCGTGGGTGTCTCCAGGACAGCTGTGCCCCGTGGCTCCCGTGGGTGTCTCCAGGACAGCTGTGCCCCGTGGCTATGCTTCTGTCCCCAGGCCTTTGTGCTGGGCGTCTTGGAGAAACCAGCTGTGGCTGTGTGTGCTCAGGGCTGGTCAGGAGCTCCACGTCTCCTCACTCTGAAGCTCCTCCTTTTAGGAAAACCCATGAGAAACAACCATCTCTACTGAAGATAAAGGCGCTTTCTAGAAGACTCCATTCCAGGCGTCCTGTTAGGAGGTAGTGGGCCTGCAGCAGGAGGGTCTTCTTTCCGTGTAATTTTAGGTTTTCCATCCCTGTGAGACTCCAGAGTGTCAAGTTCTCGAGGGTGCGGGATGGGCAGCGGAGAATGTCACAGGCGTCGTTCTGGTGCATGCTGGTGACACAGCGCAGTGGAACGCAGGCTCCCAGCCTGGGGCCGGAGTCTGGAGTCAGGCATGGCGGGGCTGAGGCTCCAGGGGAGGATCCTGCCTCCCCATTCCGGCCTCTGCCGGCACCCAGGTCCCGGCTGTGGCCACGTCGCTGCAGTCTCTGCCTCCCGCCCCTGCATCTCCCCTGAGTCTGTGTTTTCCTTTCCTGTAAGGACACCTGTCTTTGGATTGAAGGTCCACCCTCGTCAGCCAGGCCTCCTCTTAACTAAGTCCATCTGCAAAGGCCCTGTTTCCAGATAAGCTGCAGTCTGAGGTTCTGGGCGGACGCCCAATTTGGGAACACCATTCTACCGAGCACGACATATGTACCTACTCACAGAACCCTCCCAATGCTCCTGAGAGAGGGGCAGCTGACGGCCCCAGTCACAGGCGTGAAAGTGCCAGGGGAGGCCAAGCGGTGCAGAGTTGCCTGGTGCTGGGCACTTGTCCCGTTGCCTGCTGCTCACAGTGAACCACCCCACACTGTGTGACCTGCAGTGATCCCAGCACTGATTTTTATCATGAATCCACAGCCGGTTCGCTGGGGGCGGCTTGTCTCTGCTACACTTGGCAGGAGCCGGGGCTGCCCAGATGCTGGGAGCCGAGGTCACTGAGGGCTCAGGCTCTGGTGGGTCCTGCTGGCCAGCTGATCCCTGGCCGGGCTGTGACCGGACACCTGAAGGGATTCTCCTTGTGGTCTGGGCTTCCACACAGCCTGGTGGCTGCCTCCGCAAACAAGAGCCCAGAGCCCTGAGCAGAGCAGGTGGGCCGGCCCCAGCCTCCTGCCTGTTCTCCTCCCCACTGCCCCATAAACCGTGATTCCAGCAACGGGGAACGGAGCTCCTCTTCTCAGGGGGCAGGGGACGGCAAAGGTCTGGGAGAACAAACGGGACTCAGAATACGGTTTTGGCCATTTTGGGCACAATCTGCCATATTAGATAGTTTAGATTCTTCCAGTTCCAACCGGAAGTCAAGTCTGGACCTAGGGCTCTGGCTCCTAAGCACAGATCACGTCACATCTGGGGAGCCCCTGCCGGTGTGCCAGGCCTGCAGGAGGTGTGGGTGCCGGGCTCACGGGAGGTGTGTGTGCCAGGTAGGCGCTGTTGCAGTTGTCACATGGTTAGGCCAGGGAATGATGCCTCCTCTGGACATGCATGGGAGCAGCCCAGGCCTCCAGGAGACCAGCACTCTCACAGAACATGCATGCAGGTATAGACGCCGGACTCACGGAACACGCGGTGCAGGTGCGGACCCAGGACTCAGAGAACACGCAGTGCAGGTGTGGACACAGGACTCAGAGAACACGTGGTGCAGGTGTGGACCCAGGACTCACAGAACACGCGATGCAGGTGCGGACCCAGGACTCAGAGAACACGTGGTGCAGGTGTGGACCCAGGACTCAGAGAACACGCGGTGCAGGTGTGGACACAGGACTCAGAGAACACGTGGTGCAGGTGTGGACCCAGGACTCAGAGAACACGCGGTGCAGGTGTGGACACAGGACTCAGAGAACACGCAGTGCAGGTGTGGACACAGGACTCAGAGAACACATGGTGCAGGTGTGGACCCAGGACTCACAGAACACGCGATGCAGGTGCGGACCCAGGACTCAGAGAACACGTGGTGCAGGTGTGGACCCAGGACTCAGAGAACACGCGGTGCAGGTGTGGACCCAGGACTCACAGAACACGCGATGCAGGTGCAGACCCAGGACTCAGAGAACACGCGGTGCAGGTGTGGACCCAGGACTCAGAGAACACGCGGTGCAGGTGTGGACACAGGACTCAGGGAACACGCGGTGCAGGTGTAAACCCAGGACTCAGAGAACACGCGGTGCAGGTATAAACCCAGGACTCAGGGAACACGCGGTGCAGGTGCGGACACAGGACTCACGGAACACGCAGTGCAGGTGCGGACCCAGGACTCAGGGAACACGCGGTGCAGGTGTGGACACAGGACTCAGGGAACACGCGGTGCAGGTGCGGACCCAGGACTCAGGGAACACGCGGTGCAGGTGTAAACCCAGGACTCAGGGAACACGCGGTGCAGGTGCGGACCCAGGACTCAGGGAACACGCGGTGCAGGTGCGGACCCAGGACTCAGGGAACACGCGGTGCAGGTGCGGACCCAGGACTCAGGGAACACGCGGTGCAGGTGCGGACCCAGGACTCAGGGAACACGCGGTGCAGGTGCGGACCCAGGACTCAGGGAACACGCGGTGCAGGTGCGGACCCACGCGGTGCAGGTGTAAACCCAGGACTCAGGGAACACGCGGTGCAGGTGCGGACCCAGGACTCAGGGAACACGCGGTGCAGGTGCGGACCCAGGACTCAGGGAACACGCAGTGCAGGTGTAAACCCAGGACTCAGAGAAAACCGGTGCAGGTGTAAACCCAGGACTCAGAGAACACGCGGTGCAGGTGTAAACCCAGGACTCAGAGAACACGCGGTGCAGGTGTGGACCCAGGACTCAGGGAACACGCGGTGCAGGTGCGGACACAGGACTCAGGGAACACGCGGTGCAGGTGCGGACCCAGGACTCAGGGAACACACGGTGCAGGTGTAAACCCAGGACTCAGAGAACACGCGGTGCAGGTGTAAACCCAGGACTCAGAGAACACGCGGTGCAGGTGCAGACACAGGACTCAGGGAACACGCGGTGCAGGTGCGGACCCAGGACTCAGGGAACACGCAGTGCAGGTGTAAACCCAGGACTCAGAGAACACGCGGTGCAGGTGTAAACCCAGGACTCAGAGAACACGCGGTGCAGGTGTGGACCCAGGACTCAGGGAACACGCGGTGCAGGTGTGGACCCAGGACTCACGGAACACGCGGTGCAGGTGTGGACCCAGGACTCAGGGAACACACGGTGCAGGTGTAAACCCAGGACTCAGGGAACACACGGTGCAGGTGTGGACACAGGAGTCAGTGAACACGCGGTGCAGGTGTGGACCCAGGACTCAGAGAACACGCGGTGCAGGTGTGGACCCAGGACTCACGGAACACGCGGTGCAGGTGTGGACCCAGGACTCAGAGAACACGCGGTGCAGGTGTAAACCCAGGACTCAGGGAACACGCGGTGCAGGTGTGGACCCAGGACTCAGGGAACACGCGGTGCAGGTGCGGACCCAGGACTCAGAGAACACGCGGTGCAGGTGTGGACCCTGTAGCCACCTTGACGCTGAGGCTGACGTGGCCCCTGGGCTCTTGAGCCATGGCCAACACCCAGGCAGCTTGCAAATTTGAACAGCACAATGCTTCTCAAAGTGGGAACTTTGCCCCCAAATCCACGCTTTCAGCTTTTTTAAAAAAAACGGCAGGTGAAGCAAGGCTGAGTCCACATCCTGCAGGTCAGGAAGCAGGTGCCAGATGTGTGGGATGCTGGCTCTCCCCATGGGGCTCAAGCCTGCTGTGCCACAGCCTCCACCGCTCCCCACCGCCCCCTTCCCTGCTGCCCCCGATGCCCCCTGCTTCTCCCAGCCTCTACCCGCCACTCCCCACCTCTCCCTGACAATCCCCACGGCCCCCACTGCTCCCTACAGCTGCCCCCGCTCCCCACCATCCCCCACTGCTCCCCACCGCCCACGTTGCACTGCAGCTGGTGTTCCACCTGCTGCTCACCGGCCTGGGGCTGGCAACCCCTTCCCAGACCTGCCTCTCTGTGATCTCACATGGCCATGACAGGTGCACCTGTCTGTGGCTGCACACCTGGGCACAGCAACCACCCTGGTGTCCTACAGGGATCACCTCACTTCATTCTTATGACAGCTCTTGGCGGGGGCCTTGTCACTCTCACCTTACAGATAAGGAAGCTCAGCCACCAAAAAATTAGGTAACTGGCTCAAGTTCACACAGGGAAGAGGAGCATGTCAGGTGTGTTCAGGTGTATGCAGGTGTGCACATAGGTGTGCGCAGGTGTTCGAGTGTGTGCAGCTGTGCTCAGATGTGCACAGATGTGTGCCAATGTGGCCAGGTGTATCCCGCGTGCCCAGGTGTGTGATGTGTTCGGGTGTGTGGACATCTGCTCAGGTATGCCCAGGTGCACGCCAATGTGCCCAGGTGTGTGCCAACATGCTCAGGTGTGTGCCAGTGTGCTTAGGTGTGCCCAGGTGTGCATAGTTGTGTGCTGACATGCCCACGTGTGCTGACATGCCCACGTGTGCTCAGGTATGTTGAGTGCCTGGCCCCAAGAGCCAAGGCCCTTCCACATGCCTTACCCCTGGCTCCAGCTGCCCAGTTCCAGGGTGGGAGTTCTGCCAAGGCCTCATGGCTACCTGCTCAGGATGAGGGAGGGCACCTCCCTGTCCTTGGCCACCCACCCAGTCCTCTCCAGCTTGGGAGCTGTGCTGGTGGGGCCGGGCCAGGATGAGCCCACGCTGCCATCTGGTGGCTGCCACCCAGGAACCAGGAAACTCCAGAGCCCACCCCGCAGGTTCCTGACACCTGCACCTCCCCTAGGCCCAGAGAACGCAGGTGGCCAAATGGCTGCCACCCATTAGGGTCCTGCCCGAGCCCTGCTCTCAGGCAAGCATCCTGCAGGAACACCCCAGGCTCTGCTGCCTTCCTACGGTTTCCTGTTGTGGGCAGGGCCACGGGGGCTGCTGGGGAGATTCAAGGCCTGGGAACTCCAGACCTTCCAGCCTGGAGAGGGATACGGCAATGGGCCAGGAAACGAATTCCCCGTGAATTTCAGGAAGTGACCCAAGTTCTGGGAGAGGGGAAGTGGCCTCAGGATGTCTGAGCTGAGGCCTGAGGCTGGGAGACCCCACATGTGTGAAAATGGGACGGGGGGTGGGGGCGGTGGGCAGGAGGTGGGGAGGTGGGCAAGTCACAGTCTGCGCCACAGTCAGGAAGAGGCCGCGTGGTCAGGGAGGACAGTGGGCTCTGCCGCTGGCAGCTCTCAGGTGGCGCTGGCAGGCAGGTTTCAGACAGGGTTCCTTTCCCAGGGCCACTGTGGAAACAGGTGAGGTCTTGGATTAGTTTCTGTTGGAGCCGGTGCCTTCCCAGGCTGTCCGTCTGCTCCGTTCCCTTCCGGGACCCCTGTCGAGAGGAGCAGGTCAGGGATGTGGGGAGGCTGGAGATGCATTCAGTCCCCGTCCGCATTTTCCCATTTGCATTTGTGCCCTTGGGACACGGCCTCTGAATCCCTCCTGGGCCTGGGTGGGGTGATCACATGTGGACACATAAACACGGCTGCTGCCTTCAGCCCGTAGCTCAGCCCCGCAGTCTCCTGGGCAACGTGCTGGGAGGGGACATCCTCTCTCACCTGAAAAGCTGCTTACAGGCCGGCACCACGCCGTGGGTTTAAAGCGGATTAGTCGGGGGTTGGCGGCTGGGGCTGGCAGTGCCTCCCTGCAGGGGCAGGCCCTTCGAGCGGTGGTGAGCTCTCCACAGGCACAGCTGCTGTGCTCTGGGTGGGTGGCTGGAGCTGGGCAAGGGGTGTCTCCCAGCAGGACCGTCTACACAGCATGCAAGGCTTCCGGGCCTTGGGGCTTCCTATAACCCTCTCTTCACCTTCCTCTTCTTCTGGGAGGAAGGTCCCAGGGCATAGGACGTCCCTGCCAAGAGTGGAGCTGGGTAGCCCCATGCTAGGTCATAGGTCACGGCTACCCCGTCTCAGGTCATAGGTCACAGCAACCCTATCTCAAGTTATAGGTCACAGCTGCCCCAAGTCAAGTCACAGCAGCCCCATCTCAGGTCATGGGTCATGGCTGCCCCATCTCAGGTCTTGGCTGCCCCATCTCAGGTCTTCAGGCTGAAGGTGAAGGCGTGGATCTTCTTCTCCCAGCCTGAGGCAGATCCTCTCTTCTGCAGCTTCAGCAAGTACCCAGCATCCGATCACTGCTCACAGCCTCCACCCCGGCCTCCACCCTGGCCTCCACCCCGGCCTCCATCCTGGCCTCGCTGGTCCAAGCCGCCGCTGCCTCAGGCCTGGACTGGTGCCGTAGCCAGCAGCTGCCAAGCTCGCCCTCTGTGGGACAGCCTACATGACCGTGGCGCCCCTGCTGTGCTGTACTGTGCACTCCCACGCTTGAATGTGTCAGGGGAGCGTGGCTCATCTTGAATGAATAGAAAATGGCAAAAGCAGTGGGGTGTCACTTCTAAATCCGGTCACAGAAAAACCCCGTGTCGTCTTGCTCACCCCCTTGCTCGCTCTCCCACTGTCTGGTGAAGCCAGAGGCTGTGCCGAAACCTGCACATGGGGCAAGAGGCGGAGGGTGACGTCCAGCTAAAAGCTGGCAAGGAACTGAGGCCCCAGAGACCAGAATCCTGCCCAGAGCCATATACCCGAGCTTGGAGGCCAGTTCTTCCCCAGTGGAGCTGTCAGATGAGACCCCAACCCAGCTGGGCCTGTGAGATTCTGAGCCTGGGGGTCCAGCCAAGCCACACCAATCATGGATACGTGGAACACTGGAGCTGATAAGTGCGTGCTGTTTTCAGCTGCCACGTGTGGACCATTTGTGAGGCAGGAGGAAGCAGATGCCACAGGCCCACCCTGCAGTCTCCCCCACAGCCAGCGTGACTGTTAAAACCCAGATCCGCCCACAGCACTTCCTGCTCATGGCTCCTAGCAGCTCCCCCATCAGGCTCCAAGCCTTTCAGCAGCCCCAGGCCCTGCATGGTCACCTTCCCACCAACTGCTCCCCAGGCCCTGCACCACCCCCACCGCCACCCAGCCACCCCCCAGCCCTGCCCCATTCTTCATCCCCAGCCAATGCCTGCTCCCCACCCCACCCCATTCATCACCCCCAGCCAATGCCTGCTCCCCACCCCACCCCATTCATCACCCCCAGCCACTGCCTGCTCCCCACCCCACCCCATTCATCACCCCCAGCCACTGCCTGCTCCCCACCCCTGCCCCATTCATCACCCCCAGCCACTGCCTGCTCCCCAACCCACCCCATTCATCACCCCCAGCCACTGCCTGCTCCCCACCCCTGCCCCATTCATCACCCCCAGCCACTGCCTGCTCCCCACCCCTGCCCCATTCATCACCCCCAGCCACTGCCTGCTCCCCACCCCTGCCCCATTCTTCACCCCCAGCCACTGCCTGCTCCCCACCCCTGCCCCATTCTTCACCCCCAGCCACTGCCTGCTCCCCACCCCTGCCCCATTCATCACCCCCATCCACTGCCTGCTCCCACCCCACCCCATTCTTCACCCCCAGCCACTGCTTGCTCCCCACCCCTGCCCTATTCATCACCCCCAGCCACTGCCTGCTCCCCACCCCACCCCATTCTTCACCCCCAGCCACTGCCTGCTCCCCACCCCTGCCCCATTCTTCACCCCCAGCCACTGCCTGCTCCCCACCCCTGCCCCATTCTTCACCCCCAGCCACCCACCATCTCAGGTCATAGATCAAGGCTGCCCCACATCAAGCCACGGCAGCCCCATCTCAGGTCAGAGGTCTGTTCTTGCCTTGCTTCCTAGCTGCCAGCCATGTGGGGCAGTTTACTGGACATTCCCACGGAGTGTGCCTCAGGGCCTTTGCATAGGCTGTTCCCTCTGCTGGAGATGCTGTTCCCTGAGATGTGTGAAGGGCTTGCTCCCTCCCTCCTTCCAACACCACCTTCTCAGTGAGCCCCTCCCTGGCCTCCCTGCTTAGTCTCACATTCCTCCCGTGTCCAGCTGACCCTGCTTGTTTGTCTCGACAGGATTCGTCAGCATCAGACCCTCCCAGCTGTCGACCTCCCCCGCCACCCCGCTGTGGGATACATGGGCCACAAGAGCAGGGAGTTTTGTGCTTGTGACTTTTTTCTCCCCGGCGGCACCCCTGGGGCCTAGAGCGGTGTCTGACACACAGAGAGTTTCAGCAAATATGTGTTCAAGGAATAAACCGAGGGAGTGGAGGGCACTGGGGACGTGAGCCTGTGCCTGCGCCACCGTGGGAGTGTGAGCAGCTGCCCACATTTCCTTTCCCGGCCGACCAAGTCCTCACGGGAGGGTGTGTGGAACGGATCATCCCTCAGCCTATGTCCCTCAGTGAGAACAGAGCAGGTCCCCTGGGGACATGTGAGAGCAGCTGCTTGAGTGAGAAATGAGCCTTTGAAGGTCACTAAGCTTGGGGACTGTTTGTTCATGCAGCAGAACTCAGCAACCCTGAAAACACAGAAATTAGCACCAAGAAGGGGGCACTGCCACAGCCGCTGGGCACCCAGGACACGTGGTCCTGCTGGCGTGGAGGTCAGAGAGGCCGCCACAGCCGCTGGGCACCCAGGACACGTGGTCCTGCTGGCGTGGAGGTCAGAAAGAGGGCTGAGCAGAGGCTAGAACATGCTGTGTGTGGGCACTTGTCAGACTGGACTTAGCACTTGGAAGTTAGACCATCATCCTAATGAAACGGCAGCTCCAGGGAAAGGCTGGAAAATCGAATGTGCGCAGACTCAGGGGCAGCTGTGGGCCATGTTGGGTGAGGTGTTTTTTTTTGAGATGGAGTTTCGCTCTTGTTACCCAGGCTGGAGTGCAATGGTGCGATCTCAGCTCACCGCAACCTCCGCCTCCTGGGTTCAGGCAATTCTCCTGCCTCAGCCTCCCGAGTAGCTGGGATTACAGGCACGCGCCACCATGCCCAGTTAATTTTTTGTATTTTTAGTAGAGACGGGGTTTCACCTTGTTGACCAGGATGGTCTCGATCTGTTGACCTCGTGATCCACCCGCCTCGGCCTCCCAAAGTGCTGGGATTACAGGCTTGAGCCACTGCGCCCGGTCTTAGGTGAGGGGTTTTGAGGAGTCAGACCCAGACAGGAATGGTCCATCCTGCCAGCAGGCATAAGACTGAATAAAGAGATTGCAAGATATTACACTCCCGGCAAGCTGGAAGAGCAGCTGACTGCAGACCCCCCAGCGATAATTAAAATGCAGCTTCTGACAAGAGTCTAATGCCGGCCTGGTGTCACAGACCCTGTTCACGTCTCCAGAGGGGCGAGGTGTCTCGCGGTGAAGGTGTGACGCGGGCATGGGCTTTTCACTTGGACAAAGCAGCACAGGGGAAAGTGAACAAGGAGAAAGGAGGATGGCATCCCTGAAACTTAGCCGAGCCACCAGCGTGGGCAGAAGGCTCTGTGGCTGGGGAGGATGGCGGTGGAGGAGCCGCAGCTGTGGCTTTTGCAGGTGGAGCCGGCTGTCAGAGATGAGAAGGCTGCTGGGATCCTGAGAGTCACGGTGACAGGACGGCCCCACTCAGATGACAAGAGAAACATGAGCATGAATGCAAATCTCCGCTAACCCCTGCAGCCAGGACGCGGGCGGCGAAGACCGACCGGCCAAGGAAGGCGCGTTCCCTGGTTCCCACTGTGTATTGGCCAAGAAGGATCACGAGGGAATCAGAAACCTCCCGGAGGGCAGAGGCACAGGCCTTGGAGGACGGAGGAAAGGAAGTGACTGTCAGGCAGGAGCGTGATTGGCACCAGGGTGGGTGCTCAATACCTTCAGGGGTTTCAGGTCCTCTGTGACCAGTGACTGCCACCATATCCCCTCTCTCTCCCTGCCACAGGACTTGTCATGTCCATTCCCTGCAGCCCGCTGTGCGCCGAGCGTGAGGGAGGCAATGGTTCGTCTCTTCAGTCCATGAGTGTCCTGGCAAAGAGGTGTTTGGGGTCACGCACACCCAGCATGGCTGTGATTTGGGATCGTCTCACCTGGGAAGCCATGAGGGGGTGAACAGAGTCAATGAGTCCAGGAGGCAGATGTGGAAGTCAGGGGAACCGCCCACCAAGATTCTGGTCTCCTTTTCCAGACACATTTAGGATTAGCTTTCCCTGTCTCTACCAGCTAGGCCTGGCCATGTGACCTGCTTTGGCCAATGAAATTCTAGCCTTTAAACACAAGTTCATAATACTTCCTGCTTTGAGGACTGTGGATGTGTGTGGACACCCGGGTCCCCGCCTCCTGTGATGACAGAGCAAAGGCCCCTGCTGGCCCATGCTGGACACGCACGTGAGCAAGAAGTGTGTCTGTGAATTGCTTAGCTACTATGGTGTGGGGCTGTTTGTTACACAGCCCAGCCAAGGCCAGCCTGACTGATACACTTCCTAAGCATGAAGAGGGCTCTGCCGCTCCAGTGAGGGGAGTGGAGCCCAGGGCTGCTTCTCAGTGATGCCCACAACACTGACTCCTAGGCCCCCCAGAAACAGTGAAAAGAAACACAACAGGAGGCGTCTGTGGAGGAGCTGGTTGCAGCGGGGTGGGCACAGCTCTGCCCTGCTGAGGACAGGCTGACGATCCCCTAGGGCCCTGTCCCCGAGGGAGGGGCTGGTCTCCTGAGCAGTGTCCTGGATCAGGGCTGACATGTAAATAAAAGTGGGTCCAGCCAAGCACCAGGCACCCACGACCAATGGGCCCACCCACAGCTGTCTTCACAGCCTCCAGAATTCTCCGGTAACTGAGGGGGTGGAATGCGTGCTGGGAGCCTTAGGTGAGGCTTGGATGAAATTCCATCCAGAATGTGTTCTGTCACCGATGATCAAGGCGCCTGCTCCGGTGCATCCTTGTCTTCACACACAATTTCCATTCAGTCTGGAGATCACCGTTTGCCACGGAGAGGCGGCCCCAGCTAACAGCGCGTGGATCTCATTTCCTCTGCCCGCCATGTGCTCAGGCTGCAGAATCCAGGCGTCTGTCAGGACAGTGCTCCCGAGTCTATTAACGCCCCCGCCCCCGCCTTCCCCTTTCAGGATCCAGCGCCGCAGACACGGCCTTGGCGATGGGAAGTGACCGCTCTCATCCCTTCACAACCGAATCAACCAGGCGTGAAGGAGCCGCCGCTGGGAGATCAGGCGGGGGCGGAGGTCCCGGCCTGGGACCCGCAGCCGGGGCTGGGTGGGCAGCTCCTGCCCCGGGAAGGGGAACTCCCGGCCCCTCCCCGTGCCCCGCGGCAGGAGGTGCGTTCTGGGGGGCAGCCCCTCACTCTGTGGGTCCAGCCGCCTCGCTCCGGGAGGGCTCTGCTGCGACGGTAACGTAGAGGTGCAGCCGCCCTTCTGAGGGGCGCGCACTGCGGCGTGAACCCCACGTAGCAGCTGCCGCAGGAGGCCCGATTCACAGGCGGGAACCCGGCACAGAGAGGTTGAGTGACCTGCCCGAGGCCACACAGCACTGCGGCAGAGCCGGGCGGCAATTCTCTCTTCGTGTCGCCCTTTGTGAAACTGGCCCTGTCCTGGGCTCCACGCAGCCCTTCCGGTCCCACGGGAGATCCAGCCCCTTCTCTGCCTGCTGCCCCCGCCCTCCGCCCTTTGCCCTCCGCCCTTTGCCCTCCGCCCTTTGCCCTCCGCCCTTTGCCCTCCGCCTTGTTCAGGGGAGGGGCCTGCCCGCGCCCGCCCCGCCCTGTTCCCCGCCCCACGCTCCTGATTGGCTCCCGTCTTTGCCTGGATCCCGTGATTGGCTCAGGGGTGAGCACGTGATGCAAGCTAGCCCAATGAAAGCCACGCCCGGGATTTTTGGCGGGACGCGCCCCCTGCAGGTGCAGACTCGCAGCGGGAGGGGCGACTCTGCACCTGCAGGGGGCACAGAGGACTTGGGGGTCCTGGGCGTGGAGCGGCCTGCGGCAGACAGGGCTGGGTGAGAAGGAGGGGGTGAGAGACCGAGAAGCAGGAGAGACAGAGACGAGATGGAGACACAGAGGCAGGGACAGATGGAGAGGGGCAGAGGGAGGGAGCCGCACG